AATAAATTATAATTTATTATTATTAAAATTAATTTAATTAGTTTAAAATTTTTTTATTTTAAACTAATTAAATTATTTAGATTTATTAAATAAATTAAAATTAATTATTTCAACATTTATGATTATGTATTAGTAATTTTATATATAATAAATTTAAATAAAATTTTTAATTTATATTAATTAAAAAATGCATGTATGAATGTATCTTTTCAAATTAATTTTTGAAGTTTATTACTGCAACTTTAATGAAAAAATATTCTTTTTTTTAAAATAAATAACCTAAAGATGCTTTCATATTTAATTTGTAATATATGGAAATAAAAAGGAAAAAAAATCGTAACATTCGGAGTTCGAAGTTTCGCGGGCGTCAGAAAAATTTACACGCAACATGCCGGTGGAAATCGAACTGCGAACATTTTTTAACAAGACACCACTGTCGTTGTTACGGTAATTCAAAAGATCACTCCATACATACTGCTGTCATTGATAATTTTATAAATCGTCTATGATTTCAAGCATTCTCATGGGATATTTTTTGCAGAACCTTTTATTTAAATTAAATGAATTCCCGCATAAATGGTAAGACGTCGAGACACACAGCATGGAGTCATTGTAAACGCGGCCAGTGGCGTAAGTTACCAACGAATAAAACTCACAGATAATTCGATCTTGAAATAATAACCGGTTCACCGTGAAAGATCGTTACCGATAAATGCAGTTATTCTAATTGCAGATAACAGGGGTGTTTAGAATTTACAGAAACATTTAGAAACGATGCCATTGCCGCTGCCGCCGCCGCCACAGACTCGTCCTCTGTCTATCATGAGCAAGCCGATGCTCGTCAAGATGGCTCTCGTCACGAAAACTCTCTTCGACTATTCACTTCCTGTCTATCCATGAATATTTTTCGAACACACTTGTCCGTTACCGATTTCAACGCGATCGACTTTCAAACTAATAATATCGACTTACACCTGCTAAACCGTAGAAAAATCAGATTTCCTTGATCTGGATAATTGCTGTTGCCGCACGAGATGGGATGAAAACAGTGATCGCGTCTGACGACAGTAGCGCCATGGCGCCTGCCCGCCACGGCAACAGCTTACCTTTTGGCGGGAAAATATTATTCATTAATTCTATTTTATCTCCTTTTGATTGAGATACTTCTTCTATAAAATTGTATTTTATGCTTGAAATATTATAGCTGAGAAAAATCATTGAAAAAAAAAAAAATTTATTTTTTGAAAAAAGATATAATTGTAAATGCTTTAATATCTATTTCAAATGTACCGCTTTTCTGCATGAAATTTATCTATGTTCCGGCATTGGATCGAGTTTAGAAAAAGAAAGTTTATGTTAATTGATATCAAGAAAATTTCGAAAATACTTGTTAGTTATTATTCATAGATTTATAAATTTTATATCATTAATTGTATTTACTTTAATTATTTCTTTAATTTGATATATTTAAGCTTTATCTTTATGCTTAATACGTTTATTCTAATTTATGAAGAAAAATTTAAAGTAAATAAATGCTTAACCGAATATTGTGTAAAAGTTGTATACATTCTTTTATATGAGTTTATTAAATCTTTTCAAGAATTTTTTTATTTATAATTTTATATTATTAATATTTCGAAAGTACAATAAAATTTACACATAAAGTTTTTCAATCATAATATTAATACGTCATTTCTAATATAGTAATAATATAAACAACATTAACCTTATTTTTTCAACTTTAAATAAAATTACGTAAAATAAGGATTGTTTTAAATTCTTAAGAAAGTTTGAATATATAATATATTAATTAAGTGAATTAAATGTTTAATTGCAGCATTTATTTCTGAAATTAAAAAATGGCTGATGAAGAAGAAGAGAAAGAATATAGATGGGAGACTGGTTATGAAAAGACATGGTATGTATTAATATTTTTTAAATTATTTTAATAAATTAAGTTATAAATTATACAATTATTTTATATAAATAATTCTTATAAAGGGAAGCTATCAAAGAAGATGATCATGGATTATTGGAAGCATCAGTTGCAGATATTATTCACAATGTTAAAAGAAAACGTCAAATGGAAAAAAAAGTTGGTGCTAGATTAGGAATGATGAGGCATCTTTATGTAATTCTTGATGCTTCAGAATCAATGTCTATTCAAGATTTAAAACCAACTCGTTTTTTATGTTCATTAAAGGTGCTTATTAATACATAATATATAGTCATTTATTTTATTGAATTTTTACTTACAAATGTAACTCAATTTAAGCTTTTAGAAGATTTTATTGAAGAATTTTTTTATCAAAATCCTATTAGTCAGTTAGGGGTAATTATTACAAGGAATAAAAGAGCAGAAAAAGTTAGCGAATTAACTGGAAATTCTAAAAAACATATTAAGGTAAATTTTTATGAAAAAATATTCTTATTTAAAATTCATTTATTTTGTTTTATAAGTTTTTATTCATTTATAGGAAGTACAAAGTATGCAACAAATTACTCCAGCAGGTGAACCTTCATTACAGAATTCTATAGAATTAGCTTTAAAATCATTACGTCTTCTACCATCACATGCTAGCAAGGAAATACTTATAATAGTGGGAGCACTTACAACATGTGATCCAGGAGATATTAATGAAACTATTAAAGTATACTAATAATAATATATATATTAAAATAATTATATCGAAATAATATAATTAATTTTGATTACAGAATATGAAATCAGATTCTGTCAGGTGTAGTGTGATAGGATTGGCTGCTGAATTATATATTTGTAAAAGAATGGCTACAGCAACTGGTGGAGAGCATGGTGTTGCATTAGATGATAAACATTACAAAGAACAATTAAATATGCATATAGATCCACCACCAGCTGCTACTAGATTAGATGCTGCTCTTGTAAAAATGGGTTTTCCTCATCATGCATTACATTCTTCTACAAATGATTCAGCTATGGCAGTTTGCATGTGGTAAGTTATTTTTAAATAATAGTTCATAAATAAAGAAGCAAGAAAATATTTTTTTTCTTTTTTACAGTCATGCAGAAAGTTCAGATGAATCTGTTAAACTTCTTAGTACAGGATATCTCTGCCCTCAATGTCTAAGTAAACATTGTGAGCTTCCAGTAGAATGTAGAGCATGTGGATTAACTTTGGTATCTGCTCCACATTTAGCACGATCTTATCATTATTTATTTCCTGTTGAACCTTTCAAAGAAGTTGAATATAAGAAAGAAGTTACATTTGAACATCCTTCAATTTGTTATGGCTGTCAAAAAATATTTTCACAAAAAGATAAAAAGGTATGATTAGTGGAATTTAATAAGAAAAACATGCGAATTTAATTTGCAAAATGTGTAAATTAAAAATATATTGAAATATAAATATATTCTTTTTCAGATATATATTTGCAATAAATGTAATCAAACATTTTGTTTAGATTGTGAAATATTTATTCACGAATCTTTACATACATGTCCAGGCTGTGCTACTAATCCTGATACATATCAAAAACCCACAGATAGAATTTAATTTATTTAATGTATGTAAAATAAAATTAATAATTTTAATAATTTTTTATTTTAATAATTTATTTTAAATGAAATATTTTAATAGAAAATATTATAACTTAGGACCAGTTTTATATATGAAGAATTTTTATATTGTAAAACTAATTGATAATACATATAAAAAATATTGTCTCTTATTAAAGAGAAATGAATCAATGAAAAGACAATAATAACGATAATAAATATTTTTTTCTTTTTTTATTTACAATAATCTGTTAAATATTTACGTAACAAAAAATTATTTTTGCAATTCATGTAAATATAATAAATATATTTATATAAATAAATTAAACAATTGTTCTAATCAAAATATATATATCTATATTTATAATGTTTTTAATATAATAAGTTATAATAATAGTCTATTACTAACACAGTTTATTACTTTATTAACAGATTTTTAGAAGGTTGATGAAGAACGATTTAATTAAAGTTAAAGAAAAACTTAAAAGATAAAGTTTCTTTATATACAATTTTTCTTTCAAAATTTGAGAAACCCGAAATCTGCGACCGGTAATGTAGTTACTTTAAGAATAGCTTTTAGTGGGGGGTAATCGTGGTTTATTAGTAAGCGGACAGGTGGAAGCGAACATCATGATATTAGAGCACATTATTAGTTTGCGACCGTCCTCCGGCGCGACCGGTTTCACAGTGTCGACCTACTTCCGATTCAATTACATATATTTATCTTACCCGGTCAAAGTGATTTTATATGTGAGAAATTTTCTACACATCTAGTTTTCTTCTCAATCTTCGAGATCAGGTAAGAATAATTTTTTTTTTTGTAAATGCAATAAATATTCAATATTATTTTTTTCTCAATGAATTATATATTAGTATATATGTATAATGTATGTATAAATATTGGTATATATTTAAAATCTAAAATTTTTTTATTGTCTTGCGATTTGTATAATTCTTCAATTATAAGACATTCTGTAATTTACGCGCGTATTATTACAAATACTTGTTTTAAATATTTTTATTTCATATTATTTGCATTTAAGAATTTAATAATTTTTCTTTTTATTTTTTTATTTTTTATTTTATTTTTATAATTTTTCTTAACGTTTAATATGACCTAATGTTCTAATAAAGATAAACATGAACACGTGTTTGAAAAGTAATATATTCTTGTGTACATCATAAAATATAACACAAGTAAAAGATAAAATGTATAATTATTATCTCCTATAATATTTCTTATATTTATATTTTTTTTACGAAGAGAATATAATAAATAATCAACATGATAAATTAATTTGTACTTATTTTTATTTAATTTATTTATTTTAGAATTTTTTTTCTTGCGATATTTTTGAATGAAAATTTTATTTTGTATTTTATAACGAGAAAAATTACAGTTTAGCGATAAATAATACATTTAAATATAAATTTAGAAAATGTATTTTTAAATGTTATTTTATTTTATATTTTATATTATTAATTTAAATTTTTACAATAAAAGATAGCAGAAATATGTTATATATTTAATAATATTCAATAAATTAATTCAGCTATTTAAATTAATTGGAACTATTTAATTAAAATTAATTTTAAAATAATATAAATGTATTATTATAATTTTAACTAAATGATTTGTTATTAAATTGAAATATTACATCATAAATTATATTTATTAAAAAAAACTATTATTAATATATTGTAAATAATTAAATATTATATTTAATCAAATTATTTGAATTTTTTAAATTAATTAATATTATTAAACAATGTTATTCAAATAATAAATTACATTATCGGTTAATTTATAAAATTTTATAAAAATTTGATTTTTATTCAATTTGATTAATGATTTTTACACAACATGTTTTATTTTAATTCATAGTCGTAGATTTTTCGTAGATTTTTTCTAAATTTATTAAGTAAAATGATATGATAAAGACAAAATATAAAATATTTTTGTATTTTGTATTTTATAAATTTTTTATTTTAATTTTTTTCATTTCAAATATGTAATCAAATAGTTAATCAAACAATTTATTTTTTAAGATATTAATTATTTATTTATTATCCATCAATCAAACTTAAGATTAAACGATCAAACTTATTTTAGATTAGATTAAATTAACTTAAGCTTAAATTATTTATAAAAATTAGAATTATATTATAATATATGTATGTAATCCGTATGCGTATAGTGATTGTCATATCTGATTTTCTTTTCTACATGTATGAATAAGGAAAGAACTCCTTTCTCTTTTATTAGTATTTTCAATTCGTGTAGCAATGTGTAATATTCGATACTACGTCTAAGGATATCCATTGAAAGGAATTTTGCAAGAGGTTAGCATTGAGAAATATCATTCCAATGTTTTTTTCCTTGTTATGTAATGGTAACAATTTAACATAGTTATCCATAATTAACTGCAAGATTTGATTTATATAAATATTACCATTTTTTTTTCCACCATATTCAATTCACATTCAAATTTTTACTTGTTTTTATCACATCGATATTGTTTTCCATTTTATAATGATTAAAATGAAAATATTCCTGATCAGAGTTTTAATATTATTAGCTTGTTACGTTTCAAGGATCACGATGTATAGAAATCGAACATACATGATTTGTATCCGATATAGTTGTGTACATATAACGTAGCTTTGCCAAAGGTATACAAACAATTCATACACAAAGAATCACCATCTAAATTGTTGATTAATCGATGTCACTTGTCTATAATTGTATATTTGAATTGTCCGTGTTATTTAAATGTTACATTTCTATTGTGCATTTCTTTAATAAAAATCTTCAAACATTATATTTGTATAAGAAATACTTTGTCGAGGCGTTCAATGGACATAAATTCATTCTGCATAGGATAAAAATTAATATTATAAAACTTGATAATCAGGATTCGGCCAGATTTAATTAATGAAATTTTAGTGATGTTATTTTTAAAACGAAAAATGTTTTTCAATCCGTGAATGCCATACGCATATACTTTTTATTTTTTTCCTTTAGTCTTGCATTATCTCTATTCTCTTCTTCTTTTTTTTTTTTTTTCCTTTCAAAATTCACAAGATTTTTTATATCTCACATTATAAAATCATAGTCTTTAACAAGTCTTCTATTATTATTATTATTATTCAATGATCGTGATTCAATCAAATTAAGATCCCTCGACCTTACATGGTGTCAGGCTTGATTGGTGAAATTGTTAAATAGCTCGCATATGATTTGTAAATAAAGACATTATAGGGGGGATCGTGCAATGGGGACATGATACCATGATGCCTTGCCTTAATTAGACTGTAACCTTGTCACATTGAATCGACTATACATTTGTTTGTGGATTCTCGTTATGCCAATATCATCTGAGACCCGCAAATTTTAATACGTACACATTAAAGAGTGTCTTATAACTGATAAACAAGCAGATAGGTGATTTAAAAAAAAAAAATAAATCGAAAATATAGAATAAAATTGTTTAAAGTTTCATTTCTTCAATAAAAGTTCGAAAAAATTCACAAGAAGCACAAATAAAATTGGCTATTTTCGGATGGGTAGTTATTCTACGTGTGAAAATAAATAAAAAATGTAATAATAAAAATAAGTAAAAAATTAGTTTTTAAAAAAATTGAATTTGAAAATTTGTCGATTACATGATTCTTTGATTGTATATGTTTAATCTCGATTTTCAGAAAAACAAGAATTTAAACGGTAAAAATTTCTTTTTTTATTTTCATATATATATATAGAGTAATCATTTATTATATAATTCATTTATATTTAATTAGGAATTAGCCAATTTTAATTACATTTAAAAATTTTTGTACTCGAAAATAAAATCATAAGTAAAAAAATTTTTATTCCATTATTATTTTCGATTTATTTTTAGAATCTTTATCCAAATATTAAAACATCCAATTGTATCACCAATTACAGTATCATGAAATTCACATGTGAAACCGATCAATATCATATAATGTTTGTTTGAATAATGTTTTATACATGTTAACATGCATCATGATAAAATGATAATGATTCGAAGAATATTTCTATGAAGAAAAAATAGAACTTAGATATATCGAATTACTTGATGAAATTTATCTTTTGATCTATAATGATTCTATAAAAAATCATATATCTGCTATACAGGATGCTTGCCATGATATCTCGATTATTTTTGACGTTATCTGAAATATCAATAAAACGATATTAAACGATTATCAATTTTTTGTTTTTGAGATAATTTAAGAACTTTTATCTTCGTGAAAATCTTCAAATCAATATAGTTCTTAATGGAAATTAAGCAATTGATTAAAAATTTATGATATTTATTACGATATTAATCCATACTTGACATTTGTCTTAGAAATAAGATTTTACATTTCAAAATGGGCTATTATGAACGATCAACAGATTCTCTTCAATATTTACATTTACAAATTCGAAAAATACATTATATTTGTGATAATTATACTCATATCATTATGAAGAAGTGTTAATAATCAAACAACATTGTTTTCATAGTTATCAGTGTATGTGTTATAAATATAGTAAACAAAATTACAACTATTAACTGGGAGAATTCTAACATAATGGAGATAAAAGAATAGAAATCGAGATGCGTTCTGCGTGCGCTTGTAAATACATAATAAGAGGACATTCCTCTCTTTCTTTTTAAATTACCAATCACGATCATCGTTTAAAGAGATCAAGGTGATTTACAAACACATAAATGATCAAAGAGCCTTGGAAACTCCTAAAAAATTTGTATTATATATATTTATTATAACAATATTTTATAATGGTTTAAACATTTTCATTACTAGAGAAAGAATGATAGTTTATGCATGTTTATTATACACGAAACGAATCCTTATATGTAATTCTCAGAATATTTCAGAAATATATAGACAATATAATGAAAAAAGTCATATATTGAAAATTTCTAGTAATTTATGTAATGCATATATATTTTATAGTTTAATTTTACATCATGTTATGGAATGTTACAATAATATAACTTTTGCTATTTTTCATAAAATAGTTTTTTCGAAATAAATATCTTTTTAAGATTATTAAAAATATTAAAACATCAGATAATGTTACAAATTGATTGAAATAAATTAAATTAATAAATTAATGATATATCTCATGATATTTCCACAAAATGTAAATTTCTCATCATTTCTGTTCATAATATGCTTTGCTATGTAAAAACGTTAG